TGTGCCCATGACATATATGGACAATTAAGCGAAGAGGGCCATCTATGACTAAAGATTGTAACTACAATCGCTGTAAGGGCAAAAATAGGGCTACAAAAGTAGAAAAAGGAGGTCGCTATGAGTGTCTGAAACTACTAGACGTCCTCACCTATTGAGCCAGCTTCATGGGGAGAGCAGGGAAAATTCGACATCAGCAGTCCCCAGCCCACTATATGTCGTCCCTAAAAACCAGTTTCAATCAATAGGAGGGCCATGCACCTCCATACAAACCCAGGCACCTCCCTTGTCGCCATGGGCTCCTAACCATGCCCTAACTATTGCAATCCTTTGCAAACCCTTGTTGCCAAATTTCAATAAGGGAACTAGAGCCCCTTTTGAGACTGAAAAAACAGTGTCCCCTGTAACGACTTCACCAACTTCATCCTTTTCCTTTGGTTTACTACCAAAAAACCCAATCAGCCTCCAATGATTATCACTTTGATACCCTAGATCTAAGCAAAACAGAGGCATTGCAATATTGGATCGTAATGTTTCAGAGAGGAATACGACGCTTAGCATGTGTAGGAAAACAAACGCTTCTAGATCTGGAAAACACAGGATCCACCCAATCAAGCCTCCTGCTGCACCCAGGCTAGTCTCCTGCTGCACCACACCCCTGCCCTTGCCTCGCCCCAAGCCCACGCCTTCTCCCTCGCCCATGCCCACACTGGCGCCCCGTGCCCACGCCCTGCACCAGCCTTGCTCTGCACTTGGTCCCCTCACCTCCCGCAGCACCACGCCCCTGCCTTCTCCCTCGCCCATGCCCACACTCGCGCCCCGTGCCCACGCCCTGCACCAGCCTTGCTCAGCACCAGATCCCCTCACCTTCTGCACCCCGATCTCTCCTCTACGCCAAGATCCAAGAAGGGGATAGGGAAATCGAGACAAAAATAAGAAGTAGAAGAAGAGGGGCCCTAAAAAAACCAGGGAGAAGCACCTAGGTGAGAGGCTCGCACGCCGCTGAGGGAAACCCTAGCGGCTGCAAGAGGAAAAGAAAAACTCCTCAAATTTTTATAATTACTGTATTTTTCATTTAACTCAAAATCAAATTTTAAATTTGCAAAATTCTCAACAAATCAAAGGAGTTTAGGATGTGTTTTGGATTGCTGTAAAGTGCTGTATCTATAGTTATAGTTGTAACTGTATTAAACTGTGTTGTGCTGTAATTATGATTGAAAGTTATTTTATTATTTGGTTAATTATTTTTTAAAAGTTTTATAAATGAAATATGATACATTTTATTAATTATTAATTAAAATTTAAATAATATTGTAAGATATATAATTATTAAAATAAATAATATTTATTATTTTTTAATAATTTCAATTTTTTAAATTTGTTTTAATTATTAAAATATTATAAATTATAATGTAATTAAATTATACAAAATTAAGTTTTAATAAGTAATTTTATAATGCACTTGCAGCCTTAGCCGCAATAGAAGTGCACCAACGCCTTTTGCTTCTTTGTCAAGGGTTCAAGTTACCAGTGCAGCAGTAGTGTAACTATTCTCTCATTCCTCTCTTTCCCACTGGTAAAAAAAAAAATTAAAAAAATAAGTAATTTTATAATTATATTAAATGTTAATTATTTTTTATAAAAATCATAGTAAAAAAACTTCAAAATAAAGTTTTTAATTCTATATATATAATTATTGTATA